AGGTGGGCTGTGTGCTCGTTTGTCACCCTATCCTATAAAAAAACATTTAATCTAATAGTTATATGTAATTAATATTATATACATTAAACTAGTTAACTACTTACACTATGGCATAGTGTGATTTCAAGCGTTCCTGTACTCTATAATATATAGCAGAACCCGGCGGACGTCGTTCTGCCAGTTAATATCATAGGTTGTGTTCAGCAAATTTGTCGCCGCGATCGTAATCTGACATCATTATTTTCACTACTATATTCATTTTATTCGATGGATTAACGTGTATCGTCAAGACATAGTTTAAACAAGTGATTAAATATTGAATTCGTAGTCATTGATATTTATGAACGTCTGGATCTAGATCATCGCTTGTTTGGTCTCGCGATGAAAATAAATCATTCTGTACTCAACATTGAGTTATATGTACTACGCACTAGAGAAGCTATTCCGAACATTGACTATGTTCAACTGAACTGTAGTGCAATCCCTACAAACTAAATATTATATAATAAGTTTATTTGTTAGTAATTATATTTAAGATTTTTATGTAACTACCAGGGCGGCATAATCGCATCAGCGACAAAGCCCTTTATATATGAATAAAAAAAAAACTAAATATTGCGTAAATTGAAGATTTGTGAATTCCATAAAATAATTATTATTACATTTTATTTAGAAATATGTTTGTTTAGATTAAATTAAGATATTTTATATTAAATTCTAATATTTATTTTATATTAATATCTTATTTTATATCAAATTAAAGTCGACTACTACTCCCGCGCATGCGCGAAAACATAGAGTAGGACACAGTTTTTGTTTGAAATGGCTTCTCTAGTACGTAGCACATATAACTCAATGGTACCCAAACACACGTTGACTTTGATAAAACTATGTACAAGGTTTTGGACGCGATTAACCGCTGCATTTAATAGTCAATTGTATTTTCAAACAGTTTTGCATGTTATGTTTTGACAATGTTTGTTATATCTAGCTAAATTTTTGTTTTAGTTGATCGTTATTTATATTTCATTACCTAAGTCTCCTTTTATAAAAATTACTCAATTTAAAGCACAGGCTCTCGGCAATATTAATCCGATCGAGATATACCCTATACATACTGCATATACCGCATAAGAACAATATTTATAAAAAACAAAAACGGCTTGGATGAAATTTACAATATAGTGGTTTACTGGGGTGAAAGATTTACTTCTAGGGAACCATTCAAATTCTCGCACAAAGACCCCTTACGGGAAACTTGATTTAATATGATTGGTAATTTTGCCACAGAGATCATTTTCCTAATAGCCCAATGGCTAGAGCGTAGGTCTACCAGACTGGAGACCACTAGTTCAGATATTTTTATGTTTTTATTTTTTGTTCTTTATTAATCTAGATTATAGCCTCACAATAGGACAAATAAATTATTATATACTCATAAAACATTTTGTTTTCGGAGTCACGTACATTTTTATGATGCTATATGTACTCGTATTTTTGACTGTGAGATCCTTTGGTCGAAAATATTTGACTTTAATGTTCTTACAGAAAATCATTCTTTTGTCGTTATAAAATAAAACCTATTTGATATTTTTCTTAGTAATAATAATAATAAAGAATAAAATCCATATATAATCATTATATAATATATGAAGAAAAACTTCATTTTAAGCGTATCGCGTGCACGGGAGAGTGTTTGGCATAGTTAAAGGTACGAAGAAGGCTTGCAGAAAGCTAAAATTTATATATCTCGGAAATTCGGCAAAATATTCTAATTTTGATCTCGGAAATACATCGGTATAGGGTTAGATGTTAAAAATAATAAAAGTGTGTTTTTACATTCAGTATAGAGAAATTACAGTTTCGACCACAACGTAACACGTCCCCTCCACAATCACACACCAGTGCAGTGTAAGGCGAAGGAATTAATTACACGATAACACTAAAGTATGCATACCAACAGCAACACCACACATCTCAGTGTAACATCTTAGCACTCGTAGAATGACTTCACTCGTTGAATGACTTAGGCGGAACCCCATGTTCCGTTGCCTACAGTGTACTTTATACTGCACAAACAAGTGGGGGTTTCTCGATATACCCTCAATTCCACTTTGCTACCCTCGATATGATGATCTGCTAAAGTGACGCAACCTCTCGCTCACTCCCGATCCAACCGGTATTTTATAGACGCGCCGACACGACCATCCTCACGCACGACCGTCCTTGGGCGTGTATGTATTTTCATGAATACCTGTAACAAACTGCTCGACCATCCTGATACAAATAGGTACACTATCTTTGGACATTTAGGGACTCGCACACATACGTAAGGAGATTACGTTTGACCTCATGCAAACCAACGCTAGCTAAAGTGTCCCTATGACCAGTCGTCACCTCATATTATGGATCGGACCGGTTATTATGGACTTGAACCGGACAACCTAGCCTTCGACTAGTCATCATCTCATATGACAACGTGAGACAAAACTGTCACTGCATACAAACTAAAGTAAACAAACGAAAGTCTATAATGGCTGCCGGACGCGACACCAGTGTGCTCTCGCTTCGAAATTTATAATGTGTCACAAATACATTAAATTAAATTAAACATTTATTTTTTACATTCATACTGCGAATGTCAAACACATAATAGTCTGTGGTCAAACAGTCGCATAGTAACAAATAATTACCACTTAATATTTCAAACGTTCTTTTTTCAAAAGTCTGTGTACTCGGGAGTAGTGTATATCAAGGTAAAAAAGGGTTTATTTTATATTTTGTATATGATATATTTGTATATTAGTGAAATATAGCTTGCTTAACATATATACTTAAAAATTTAATGAATTATACGGTCGATCACTTGTATGGATAATTATATGCAACTGGTTTCTTAGGAACGGCTCATTACGAGGCATTACATCTAGTCCTCACGGCTGACAACGCATCTGAATTTTAATTCGCAAATGAAGATAGATGTAGATGTCAATGGGCTACAGCAACCACTTATCATTAGGTGGACTGCGTGCTCGTTTGTCATCCTTATACTGTAAAACAGCTACGTACCGGCTAGCACAGTGTTGTGACAACTCGTTATATAGTCTCATAACCTTATACGAAACATGCTTTGTGGTTTGTGGCAATTATTTTTCATTGCGCTTTAAAAGCCAAAAAACTTCGGAAGTTGTCGCCTGGTTGAGCATACCAGGAGAATATAAACTTTTATAACACACTTGTTGATCATTGTTACTTATACATGTGAGCGTACTTGGGTTATTGCGGCTGTGCACACATTTATACTTACCTATACATATAAAACAATTATAAATTATTATTGGCATTTTTGAAACATACACGTAACTATTTGTGTTAGATATTGAAGTGCAAATATATTAATTACGAGTATGTGAGACAAGTCGTAGACGTCAGACAGGTTTTATTATCTACTAACTGGTCCTTGGACGTTATACGTGTAAACATAACTGATGACCTGCGGATCCTAATTAATATAATATGCAAATGAAAATGTGTCGTATGTTTTGGTAGGTATTTTATCTTAAATAATAAACATACGCACTCCAGAATTGAAACTGTTACATCGCTCTATTACATAATAATCATCGTAGAAATGGAAGGAGATCTCAATAACTGTTGGATCTTGGTGCAGCACGTATAGAGACTAACTTTATGTTTTCAACTCCTCTCCTTCAATTTCAATCCTCTTATAAAGATACCTAGAGCCTTTATTCATTTGACGTCTATACTTTATTAATGACCACGCCTTTTTCTGCCACCAGGGCGGCGCCACTTAAAAGTGAGGTATAATATTTGAAAGATTTCATAGCGGAGAGGTTAATTTGTTCGCAAAATGTAAAGGTTAATGTTTCTTTCTACATTATTAACTATATTTTATATTAATGAGATTAAAAATAAATAAACCAAACCACAAATATTCATAAAAGTAGAAAAATTAAATAAAATGTTTAATATGTGCAAAAAATTAAAGAGCAAACCAGGCAAGAGGCATTGTGTTGTGTATTAATATAATACTCTAGAAACTGATAAACTTTTATTTAAAATTAACTTATCAATTAATTGACATTGTGTAACAAAAAACTTTACCTCAGTGTCAACTAGCGACATCTGGTGAGCAGAAAATAATTAGCCCTCATTGACAGTTACTTATAAAACCACTTTCGAATCGTTTCAGCCATTGTGAAGATTAGGGTGCACAAACGCACAACCGCACAGACAAACATACAATAAACGAAACGTCGGGAATTTAAGCTAAGCAAATTTAAACGCGATAAAATCCGTAAAACTATTTTCATTCAATTAGATGAAAAACTGTATACGATTTTATTAGCATAGATTTTTAATTTCTTATTAACGAACTTAAGGCCTGCTTAATATTGCTCTCTCTCTCTCTCTCTCTCTCTCTCTCTCTTTTCACTTGAAATCAAAAGAAGGAGAGGTAGATATAGTAAATATTTTTAAGGGATCGAGAATTAACGGTTATAAGTAATTTTGTTTTTTAATTCCATCTCGCCAATATAATATTTAAGAGCACACAATTTTTATTGATTTTCTATGTAATTTCAGCGTAACAATTTCCATGTATGACCGTGTAGTGGCGGTGTAAGAATATCCACTACCCCATATCATCTCCAGGGTGTCGCTTACGTTACGACGCCTCTTAAGGCGACAGAGGTGGGCAGCAGCATCTTCCTAATAACGACTAAAAATAAAAAAATGCGGTTGCCAACCCGCTTGCCAAGCGTTGCCAAGCTACGGCAAAACCTTCCCCTAAAAGGCAATCTATGGGGAAGACTTATGTTGAGCAGTGGACTTTAACAGGCTGTAACAGTGTAACATAATTCACCTCCTTCGGTTCCGTTAACGAAATGCGAAACTATATATAAATTTCATCGGCATGATGTTATAGTTTAAACAATGCATTCAATTTAGAATTTTTCTTTTCAGACAACCTAATCAAAATGGAACCTTTAGTGGTGGACGTTGTTCATTTCTACCCAAAAGAAAATGCCCAGACGCATAACACCAACAAGTAAGTAATGAAGATATAGTATAAGTAAATAAAATATATCTAGTTATATAGCACATTATAAAAGATTCTGCTTTGCTTGGAAAATATAGATACTATTAAGTTTCACTAAAGCAACATACTCACAATCTCACGTGCAAGATCCATGTTAGATTGGGTATGTTTCAATAAACTATTTGGCTATACAGGCCGAATTTTAGGAGAAGCACATCGAGGCTATATCTCTTGTGTTCTTTTTTTTTTTACTGAAATAGTGTGACAAACGAACACACAGTCCACCTGATGGTAAGTGGTCGCTGTGGCCTCGTTTGCGAATCAAAATGCAGATGCGTTGTCAGCCTTGAGGACTAAGATGGAATGCCTCTTTTCCAGTAAAAATGGTCTCCGGTTCCTTACACTCACCATACGAAACACAGCAGCATTAAGCTGCCATTTTACGCTAGTATTCTGTGAGAGCGTGGTCCTTCCTCGGTCGAGCCGACCCATTCGTGCTACAACTACAAGTATGGCTCTACTACGTATAAAAAAAGTTCTTTCTTGAGTCCTTAAATTTTTCTCTCATCCAATGTTTAACATGTTGTGTATCTGTGTGTGTCTGTCTGAGGCATCGTAGCTCCAAAACTGATGAACTGATTTCGATTTAGTTTTGATCGAGGGTGTTCTTAGCTATGATACAAGAAAATCTTTTCAAAAAACAAAGATCAGCTCTTTTTGTTACGGAAATTAAAGTTTTTTAAATTTTAAATATATGTATCAGTCAACATTCGTTCCACTATTAAATACAGGCCCCTTTTGTTTCTAAGAAAGTTTTAATTTTTGTTTTAAACCCTTTAAATGTAGATTTTTTCGCGATGTTTTGCCTCATCAATGAGCACACGCTTCTCATTGGTGCTGGCGAAAATCGAGGTGGTCACGACAAAGAAACTTAAGTCTACCGCTCTGAGCTTCTTTAGCTTAGTATATTAAGTGTTATGACACAAAGCTAAAACTGCTAAATCCGACACGTACCACTTTATTACCTACAGTTGACAGCGAATCTAAATGTCGTTTCTACATCGGGAAAGAAAGATACCCTATAGGCAACATTTTTCATTCTGTCTTATTAATTGATTGGAGTTGAGTTAGATATTTGATATTACAGAGATACAGATAAAGTTATAGTTATACACGTGGTAGAGCTATGCTGCAACCATAATATAGTTGTAGCACGAATAGGACGGCTCCACCGGCGAAGGACCACGCTCTTACAGAATACTCAATGCTACTATTTCGTATGGTGAGTGAAGAAAATTGGAAACCCTTTTTACTGAATACGAGGCATTCCATCTTAGTCCTCAAGGGTGAGAATAACGCATGTGCATTTTGATTCTTAATCGAGGATAGATCCAGAAATCTATGGGCCACAGCATTCAATTACCATTAGGTGGGCTGTGTGCTCGCTTGTACCCTTATAAAATAAAATATAGTTACCAACGCCTGTACCCATATAGGCTGTTTTTGGGAGGGTTTTTTAGCACGCGTGCTGTTGCACATGATAATTCAGAAGATAAACTATTTCGTTAGAGCCGGCGAGGATTGAACACGGGTTGCGCGTTCATCTTAAAAGTTCAAAGTCACGTCTCGCGTACTGAAAAATTTACCCCGGAGCATTTAAGTAAATTAATTTTAATCAAAATATAAATTAACTACAGAGGATTTCTTGTAATCATTTATAAATAATTATTGACGAGTGGGAAATTTTTTGGTATCAATTCCTCCATTTTAGAATTTTTTCCTGCATCTCGGGAAATATTTAAGTATTAAAGAGTTAGTATGCTCCACTCTCGTCACTGAGCTTCTAAACCAATCCAAATAAAACTCGAATATCATTCGAAATAACTGGAAGCATTTTTAGAAAGCAAGAAATTTAAATTGCTATGTTTCATTTAAAATTTCACGAGTACCTATATTATGCTATTTTAAACTTAAAATCGTTTTGAAAGTCGAAAATTTAATTAAATCTGAGAATGAAAGTAGGTAAGGCTTTTACTTCTATACTTGTATAAGCCAAATCCGATTTTAATCAATTTAAAAACCAGTTTGAAACATTACATACTATCGATTGCTTTCATGTCCGCCATTTATGTTTGTATGGTACACAATTAAGTATGTATATTTGAATGTAATTGACTTTTGTACATCCAGATTTCACCATTATTGAGAAGTCTGAAATCTGTCTGAATTAGAAATTTTGCAGATATATTAAGAATTACCAATACAATAATTTTATGACTATACGTATGTATGGGATCAGCTACGGAGAGTGCTATGCTCGGGGTTTTTCTGCGTGATAAACTTACAAAATGTGGATATCCGCAGTAGAACCAGAGTAAACGACATAGCCATTTTACGCGGTAGAGCCATGCTGCAGCTATATTAGTGGTATAGTTGTAGCACGAATGGGTCTGCTCGACCGGGGAAGGACCACGCTCTCACAGAATACCAGCGTAAAATAGCAGTGTTATGCTACTGTGTTATGCATGGTGAGTGTAGACAACCGAAGACCCTTTTTACTGGTCATTACCAGGCATTCCATCTTAGTCTTCACGGGTGATAACGCATCTGCATTTTGATTCGTAATCGAGAATAGATGTCTATGAGCTACAGCAACCACTTACCATTAGGTGGCCTGTGTGCTCGTTTGTCACCCTTATCCTATAAAAATAAACCAATGGGTTAGTAAGCTGAAGTGACAAATGGGCAGGCCATATAGATTGAAGAACCGATAACGAAGAAGCGTTTTCGAGTGGCCTCGTACTGGTAGACGAAGTGTGGGGCCACTGGATTGAGTGACGACCTGGTAAGACATGCAGGAAGTCGATAGGTACAGGTGGCTCAAGACCGTGCAAGGAATCCCACAAAATTCGTTTGTGGAGGCCTACGTTCAGCACTGGACTTATGAAGTACTGTAATGATGGTGATAGTGATGGTATAGATGATGATGATCATGATGATGATAATGTGTGTATGTAATTACTCTAAGACTATATATAACTTAGTATTCTCATTAGGATCTCGACCTCTACATGATGATCAATGCGTGTTGTATAAGTTGGTTTTTAAACGTTATATTACGAAGAATTGCGGATTTTTGAAAATTATAAAAAATATTATAAATTAAAATTATATGTTATTACATATAATTATAATTTATAAAAAAAAGAAAAATCAATAAGTAGTAAAAAGTGTGTAAAATAAGACAATTAAGGCAAATTTTACAATGCTAGGTAGAAATATATGCTAGCTGTCAAAAACTGAAAAGAATAATTTTTACCATTTTTTCTTTACCGTTTAGGTTCGAAGTTGTGAACGAGGAGAATCCCACTGTGACCATAGTCCGCCGCGGTCAACCTTTCAACGGCGTGGTGCGTTTCACTCGAGCATTTGACGAAAATGAGGACATCGTGCAACTAGTCTTCTCGCTCGGTAAGAATAATTAATCGATTTTAATTTTATTGGGTGGAAGATGATTTTTACTGAGAGTCAGCCTTGGTTGGTAGCGTCTTCTTGTCTAATTGTGCCGTCAAGGAACATGCGCACTCATGTGTTTGATTGGCAAGATCAGACGTTAATTTGCGGAAATCCATATTATGTATTAAAGATGTTTAAATAAATTAGCTAAAAAAACCATGTGCCATGGGCTCTTCATAAAAGATACATCATTTTTATTTTTCTCGCTGATCTTTTGTAATTAATTTTAACATTTTAATAATATGGTCACAGGTTACGAAGAATTTCATCTAGTCTCTTCTAGCCTAGACCTTACAGATGTCAACGTATCTGTGACTCTTGTGTTTGAAGTTGTTTGAAAATATACAGCTAACCGGAGGGCTCTTTTACAGGCAAAGATGCATTCTATCTTAATACTCAGGAGTGACAGCACGTCTGCTTTTAGATTCTTAATCAATGATAGATGTCATGTCTATGGGCAATATCATCCGCTTACCATCATGGAAGCTCGTTTGTAACATCTATTTTATAGAAAAAATTTGAGAAATGAGTACATAGTTCACTAACGGTGTGCTATGTAAGTAAGTGTTAGTACGAGTAGATGTGTGATTGGTATTTAAAATAAATCTATTTAGACTTACAAACATAATTTTTTTATTAATTTTACTGTACTATAAATGTCATATTAAGAAAGCTCAAAATTAACAGTCGGACAAATCGGTCCAGGCGTTTAGGAGGAGTTCAGTCACATACATACATTTATACGTGGTATAGTCATGCTGCAGCTATATTATTAGTATGGTTGTAGCACGAATGGGTCGGCTCGACCGGGGAAGGACCACACTCACAGAATACCAGCTTAACACTGCTGTGTTTAGTATGGTGAGTGTAGAGAACCGGCGAACCTTTTTTATTAGAAATAAGGCATTCCATCTTAGTCCTCACAGGTGACAACGCATCTGCATTTTGATTCGTAATCGAGGACAGATGTAGATGTCTATGGGCCACAGCAACCACTTATCATCAGGTGGACTGTGTGCTCGTTTGTTGCCCTTATCTTGTAAAAAAAACATGTATGTTACAAATATTATATATATATAAAGATGATATCGACTTCTAATAAGTTTATACGACAATGAGAAGAATGACGATGAGTATCTATTATTTTAGGGGACAAGCCCCAAATGGACACACAGGGCTCCATATTCCTGCACAGAGATGCGGTCCCAGATAAGCACGCCTGGGTCGCCAAGATCTTAGACGTACAGGGCGATACTGTCTCTTTTGAGGTAAGTGTTTAACTGTTCTCAGTTAGTTTTTAAATATAACAGATTCATTCATGAAAATCTTTAATTTAGATTAAAAAATAAGGCTTCAGATTTACTGTTTGATGATTAGGTTTTTGACATTAGTCAATAGGCAACCATGAATTTTTCTATTCCCGGGGCGGCCCTACTTAGGATTGAGGTGAAATATTTGATAGATTTCATAGAGGGGGAAGTTAATATTTTAGAAAAACGTAGAGATTAATGTTACTAGCTGAAATATTAGTTATATTTAGTAGTTAGTTATGAACTAGTTTAGAAATGATAAACCAAGCTACCGTTTATTCCTAAAATTAGAAGAATTAAAATAGTAAAAAATGTGTTAAATTTAAAAAATACAGCACTTAGGCATTGTTTTGTAAATATACATACGCTAGAAATCGAAAACCTTATAATTAAATCACAACTATTCAATGAGAATGACAATGTGTGACCATCTGTATAACAAATAAGTTCACTTTAGTCCCAACTAGCGACATCTGTTGAGCTTAGGATTATTATCCCTCATTGAAAAACTTTTTAACAGTTATCAAAACAAAAATATCTATTTAAAGTAATTGTATGGGGATAGGGAACATAGAGTAATTACTACATATAACAGACTATAGAGTAATAACGTCGTAGTTTTAACAGTCAAATTATCATTCTAATTGGATATTTTTAAATACCAAAAATCAAAATACAAATGTAAAAAGTAGCAAATTCAAATTTAAAAATGTAATAATTTATTAATGGTGGTGTCAACTACCCATTTACCTACCTACTTTAATTAATTGAAAGGTGGGCTTTCCCATATCTTTGAAATTTCACTCTAATAAGACAGAGAACTATTATCAAAGTTTCTACTGACACTCGTACATTCGTACTCGTACATTATCTAATTAAAGTTTCGTATAACGTAGTCGGTACGTACTAAAATAGTCGCAATACTCAATGCGTCCAGTCATCTTCAAATTCTGCTGTAAGTACATTATTATTTAAAAATGAATGTGTTTAAGTTTATTCCGTATGTATTCCTATACTATACTATTTATCCAATGAGGGCATCAACGACTTTTTCTGCCACCAGGGCGACGCCACTAGAGAGTGAGATATTTGACAGATTTCACAGCGGGGAAGTTAATTTTTTTGGAAAACGTAAAAGTTATTGTCTCTTTCTGTACATACTATTAGCTATATTTTACATTAATAAAATTAAAAATAAATAAACCAAACCACAGATATTCATAAAAGTAGAAAAATTAAAAAAAATGTGCAAAAAATTAAAGGGCAAACCACTGACGCATTGTATTGTGTATTAATATAATTTACCTCAGTCAACTAGAGACATCTGGTGAGCAGAAAATTATAAGCCTTCATTACGATGAAACTGGTGAGTTTTTGTGTGCGACATTTTTCTCACAAGAAAGGCATTGCAACTCTTGCCGGGACAACACAGCTTGTATTTAAATATCATAAATGCACACATTCGAATGTTGTACAAACTTTTCTATGTTTGTAAAAGTAAAAATATTCAGGCAAATTGAATTACTATTTTTACTGTCCGAGGGATTGTTTAAGTATTATTATTCATCATCATTATCTCATGACTCATGTCGGGTCCAATAAATGAACCTAGACATTTACAATTTCCTACTGGTTTTGCACCGGACAAAGGTAATGTCGGCCGAAACTACAAATTAAAAATTATAAAAATTAAAAGCCGGCTTCAAAGAACCAAAAAGAATATAAATTCCATCTTGGAAGATTTAAAACCACTAAATTCAAAATGTAAAATTATTTTATCATGTTGTCGGCTTGATACCTTTATTAAAGGTTGATTTTTGAACCTTATGAGTAGAGTAGAGGATATCTAAAGCTTAATGTTATAATTAATAACAGTTACATTTAAACCTTCATCCCTATTCACTCCCATCCCCCCGCTCTCCTCTGGTTCACGTGTCGGGTGGAACTTTTTCTTTAAATTTTTACGGGACCATATTTCCCATCATCGCTTCGGTGAAAATTTTTTAAAAATGTATATGGACCCACTTCTTCGGTATAACTTATTTAATAAAAAAACTAATCATTAAAATCGATGCACAGTTCACGAAGAAATCTCGTGACATACATCCAAAGAAACAAAGTCGAATTCAGGACTTCTAGCTTTTTGGAGTCGGTATAAAATTGATATTCATTCAATGCCATGCCGGTAGTTTTTAAAATGGCCTTGTTAATAACCTAAAATTGCAAGCTTTTAATTTTAAATCCAATTACAGATTCAGTGCAGATAGGTGCACTTAGTTTTTTGTCGTTGGAATTAACTTTTTCACAAGTTTGACAACCATCTTAATACGATGCATATGGATGTATTGCTTTATATTAGAATAAATATATTACCTACATGTGTTTGTTTACAATGTAATGTTATTTTAAGCATTTTTAACTAGGTTTTCTCAGGTATAGTTCTATAATAAAATACTTCCTTGGTCTATCCATTCCATCCGTTACTGTAGAAGTCCACTGTTGAACATAAGTCTCTCCTTTATATACACTATAGTTGCCACGCTTGGCATTCGGGTTGGCAAACGCAGTTTTTTTTTATAATTTGTGTTGTTATCAAGGAAATATGCTGCTGCTCCTGTTTCGGTTTCCCTTTGTCAACTTTTACGACACCCACAGGAAGATAGTAGGTAGTGGATATTCTTACACTGCCACTACACGATTTACAGTTCCATCAAACATCCAGACCCGGAACGATTATTCGTAGACCATACAAATATGTACTTGTTCCGTGCGGGATTCGAACCCGCGGCCCCCAGCGCAGCAACTCATTGCTAAGCCACTGCGCCACGGAGCCGTCAAAAAAAATATAAAAACTTAGTCTCCTAAATTTTTCCAAATTTCTATGGAACCACCCTTACCTTATAACCTCAAAATAATCATCAAAATCCTTTCATTGTTGACGAAGAAATCAAGTAACATGCATACAAAATAATTTAAAATAAAATTTAAAAGAAAAAAAAACATTTTGTACAACCGACTTCAATATAAATTATTAAGAATATCTCAAAAACTATTGGTCAAACCTTGATCAAATTTATATGGAACCACATGAGAAGCACCAGCTTTCAAATAAAAAAAGAATAATCAAAATCGGTTCACCTAGAAAAAAGTTATGAGGTAACACACAAAAAAATACAGTCGAATTGAGTACCGTCTTCTTTTTTAACTCGTTAGAAAAGAATATGCACTCGCATTGAAATCCAGTTTGTAATAAGATAATTTGAAACCTTCTTTATAAAGTCGACTGAAAAGTTATTTATCAATAATGTGGTTTGAATATTATTCATTATCCTGTTTTGATTTTGGTTTGTACTAATTTAAATTGCAGGCTTTTGATTGGCGCCGTTGTCAATTTAATTTGACGCATGTCAATTTTTTCCTAATTGTGATTGGATTTGTACCTACTATAAAATTGGGATTGTTACTATAATATTTTATACGACTTGTAAAATATTTTTACATCATCGCATATAAAATATACTTATAAAGCCAGTACAATTATATGCTCCGATGTATTCTTTTTTTTTTATACGATAGGGTGACAAACGAGCACACAGTCCACCTGATGGTAAGTGGTTACTGTCACGCATAGACATCTACATCTATCATCAATAAAGACTCAAGATGTAGATGCGTTGTCACCCGTGAGGACTAAGATGGAATGCCTCTTTGCCAGTAAAAAGGGTCACCGTTTCTCTACACTCACCATACAAAACACAGTAGCGTTAAGTTGCTATTTTACGCTGGTTTTCTGTGAGAGCGTGGTCGTTCCCCGGTCGAGCCGACCCGTTCGTGCTACAACTATACTACTCTATAGATGCAGCATGGCTCTACCACGTAAATATTCCATCTTAGTCCTTAGATGTGACACACATCTGTAGCCTTATATATATAGAATAAGGGTGACAAACGATCACACAATCCTCATGATGTTGAGTGGATACTGTGGCCCAGAAACATCTACATTTATCCTCGATTAAGAATCCAAGTGCACCCCTGAGTACTAAGATGGATTGCCTCGTATAAAAAGGGTCTCCGGTTCACTACATTCACCATACGGAACACAATAGCATTGGGGTGCTATTACATGGTGGTATTCTGAGAGAGCGTGGTTCCTCCCCCACCACAATATACAATTATGATCAGATGTGGTTGAAATTTATAGTAAGCTATTGTGAATGTGTAATCTTTAGACAGAAAAGTCAACGCTTTAACTGACCTCGGACATTGATTTCTTCATGTTTGAATTTTGAGTCTTTGAAAATCTTTGATCATATTTCTTGCATATATTAAGGAAATATAGAGTCGAATTGATTTCTTTCTAAGAATTGTTCAAATTTTTATAGTTACTCGTACTACTCAAAAACAAATATTCGTCTAACCTATGATTGGAAGCCCCGATCATGACAGAAGCTTTATGTTAATCGATTATATAGAATCGTTTTAACAAATTAAAATTTTCTAATGTTGTTGTTTACACCTTTTTAATAATAGCTATTTCAAACATTTTTCCTCGTAGTTGTGTCATTAAAATCATTACTTAGATATTAAATCATGCAATATGTAAATCAAATAACAATAAATGATAATGGGATTCGAATGACGGTATTTGATAACTTTATAATTTATGTATGAAATGGTATGAATATACCAGTGTCATGTTCAAATGGACATAATATTATATAAAAAGTGATATAGATTTTCCTCTTTTACTTTACTTTTTTAATATGAAAGGATGTTTATTTGACTTAAATATGACATCATTTATCTCAATTCAATCTATTTTGACAAAGAAAAATTTCATTTTCTCTGGGACGGTTCGGGCTGTATTATCTGTGCACACATATTTCAATATTTAAAAATGGGGTAACATATTTCACATAAAATCTCTTAGATATGGCAAGAAAGACATTTACCAAAATCTAATTGCTCTATTTCTTTTTGTACGCCGACATTATTCGTTCTCGTATTCGTATTATTATTTATTTCAGCTGTAAAGGAGTTATGTACCTACCCAATGTCGTATCCCGCTTTGAAATCTAAGAGGGTTAAAATAATTAGTGCTATTTATAGCGACAGTAGCTCAGAGTAAACACAAGCAAGTTATGCTTATTAAAGTAGGACAATAGCCTAATGGTTAAGGGCGCGACTGTAAGCTCGAAAAGCGAGGGTTCAAATCTGCTATTCCTAAACTGTCTTGCATCACTCCCGACAAAATCCTTTTAGCTTAGTTAAATTGTTAAAATGAGTTAGTAATGTGAATAGTGTTACTAGTATTTTATTTAAATAAAAATAGCTTTGTAAAATAACCTTCTAAAGATTGCTTCGGGATTGGTAGGTCGGTCAGGTTGGGTCAGATATACGGATTCTTATGAGTTTATTTGTATTCAATATGTATTGAGGTTATTTATAAGACTTATTTTAATATATGTTATATCTATATTTTTTTAGTGTATTTAGTTATTAAAGGCACCTGACACTTGGCGGAGAATGCCGACTGGCATTAACTCCGCCATTTGTAACGTTCAGTTCAGACTTCGCTATACTTTGTACACTATACTTTATGAGCAAGCAATCCAATATAGTGTAACATCCTATGTAGTAAATTATACTCTGAACGTGTCCATAAAAATGAATGCTGAGCGATATTCTTATGCTATTAGTATTTACATGGTTAATGGAATAAAGTAATAAATAAATATATCTTAGTCGTAATACGAAACAGTAAACGTACTGTATTGAAAATAACAAGGAAATTTCTTAAAGAAGCTTGCCCATATTAAAATCAATCTTTAATAAGGCTTTTGTATTCAACAAGGAAAGATCTAAGTTGTTCTAAGTTGTGTGATTCTATGTTGTCAAGGCCGGGACAAAATGGCGGACGGACGCGCCACCATTTACATACTGATCACGTATTTACCTAAATGCAAAATGTTAGAAATCTAGAAAATCTGTTCTAAGCAAATCATAGATAAATATACTAACAAAAAAGCCAAGTACCTACTTTTTGTTTCTATTTGCATATACAAGGCAAAATATAGTTTGAAGGTATGAAAATGAAAAGGTAAATGTGTAATATCTAACCAACTATTACAAAACTATGGGGCACATCCAAAGACGTATTAAAAAAGAACTTACTTTAAAAACATCTTAGGGCACATCGCAGTCTATAGGGGAAACCTATATTCAAAACTAGACTTGTGACGGGCGGAAAGAAAGAATAAATAAAACTGAAAATTCTAAAAAAGTATAAAATAGTATTTAGCAGTGGATTTTAATGGTTGAAAAAATTTAATTGCAACTAATTTTAAATGTTTGATACTTGTTAACTTTTTTAACATTGTAACAAAAAGTCGTCCAATTATACAAAAATGTTGTCGGGACGTCCGAATGTCTATACTCTAGACGATAATAATATTATTAGACAAAAAATTATGAATACAACATTCAGGTATCAATCATCATTCATCGCATTTATTAATATTATCGGGTATTTTATTGAGGTATCAATATTGCCGTCACCGTGCCGATACAGCCTGTTAAAGTCCACTGCTGAACATAGGCTTCCTCAATAGATTGCCTCGTAGGGGAGATATTTTCCAGTTTTTTTAAATTGTGGTCCTCTATTCTCACCACACGAAACACAGCAACAAAATTTACGCTAGTATATGAGATATGAGATCGTAGTCCTTCAACGATTTATACCACCCAGTATGCTGCAGCCATAACACAACAATATCGACATACATCGACATATAGTTATAAAATCATACACATATATTATCTTTAGTTATGACTGCCCGACGGGATATATAATTTGCTATATCAATTTCATTTCATATCTTTTTTTTATTTTTTTTTAAAAACGTTACCTTTACACTAGGATTTTCTCCTGTGTCGTGGAGACAGTTTACAAACATAAATTGCACAAGGACAAACATCCAGACCCGGAACAATTATTTGTAGGCCATACAAATACTTGTTCCGTGCGGGATTCGAACCAGCGGCCCCCAGCGCAACAACTTATTGCTAAGCCACTGCGCCACGGAGCCGTCAAGAGTAAGAAACATGGATAATAAATACACAAAGCTAGAAACTCGCGAAGAGACTTAGGGATCTATCGTCAGATAATTACCTGACTGAATATAAAAGTGAATGAGCTAAAATTTTATATTCAAAGAACTGCAATTATGAAATTATTAATGTTTTATTTTATCCTATGAATAAATTTTATCTAAATAACAAAAGGAGAAGGACTTATGATAATAATCTTTTGATGTTTCTCTATATGTACATACAGTACAAAGTTGATTATTGAGATATTGCGCCTTAAGCCTTAAGTACATAATATATTCATAAAATGTTTTACGAGTTAAGTTGTAGGTAGGTCTTCTACCGGTTTTTTACCATAATACCACAATTTGTATTCGCACTTTATATTAATATTAGTTATTATAATCATTATCATATAAATATTTCTGCGATTTTAAATACCTATGCCGAATCTATTTATATTTGTCTAAAATATACACATAGTTTAATTTTCATCATAGAATTGATTTACGAGTGAGAAACATAATTTGATAGTATTTTTTTTTTATTTTGCAATGATTGGCAAACAAAGGAATTAAAATCGGCTCGGACTAACGAATTTAATCTGTAGCTTTTTTGTTTGATTTGGGTTGTAGGTGTTCTTAGACTATAGCTTAGCAATTAACTATCAGAAAAACTGTCATCTTGGTTGTCTTTTGGTATCGATGGGTCTAAGAGTCTGTACCTAAACAGCTCCGGCACCACGCCACCATTATAATGCACTAACGAAGCACCATGTAGCTCACTCTAAAATACAATAGCACTGGTGATGCTTTATACACCGGCCGTGCCAATATTTCTCGGGAAAATTTCGCCGAGTACCGGAACAAACTTGTGTCTGAAATCGAGATTTTGTTGAATAAAGTCTCAGACTAGGGGCGACTAAATCTAGTCCTGTTCAATGCCCAGAGGACACAAGTTTGCGCGTTTATCGCTAAAAAGAACCCCTTCGTCGTATCTCCTTAGTTTCAAGGCACTCCCCTTGTTGCCGCAGCCAGTATCGGAACCCTCGAGTCACTATTCATATCGAGTGACGTGCGGTTTCGTGGTCACTTGGAAGAAAAGTCCAAATTGGCCTCTAAAAAGCTTGGTGTGCTCAGCAGAGCGGGACAGTATTACACCGCCTGCAACTTTACAAGGCGCAGGTTCGGCCGCACATGGAATACTGTTCCCATCTCAGGGCTGGGGCTCTCCAGTGCCAGCACCTTCCATTTCATCGCACCCAGCACAGAGTTGTTCGAATCGTCGGAGACCGAACTCTTTCCGATTGGCTTGACTCGCTGGCACTGCGAAGAGATGTTGCATCTCTTTGCTTATTTTAACGCATTTATCACGGGGAGTGCTCTGAGGAATTGTTCGGACTAATTGCAGCCGCACAATTTCACCATCGCACATCGCGACAAAACTCGCGATACCATCCATACCATCTGGATGACTGGCGGTCTACCACTGTGCGATTTAAAAAAAAGTTTTCTTTATCGCACAACTTCCTTGTGGAATCGACTACCACCAGAGCTTTTCCGTACCGATACGGCTTAGGGACTTTCAAGAAAATAGCGTACGTCTTTTTAAAAGGCCGGCAACGCATCTGTAATTTTGTTGGTGTTGCAGTTGTTCATGGGCGGCGGTAATGACTTACCATCAGGTGAGCCGTATGATCGTTTGTACCCTCTCTTATAAAAAATACTAGTGTTGCGGTAAACCTATTCATAATATCCAGACCTGCAGTGCGATTGTGTAACTCTGGTGAGAACAGTCTATCAAAGTACACTACGGAACACAGCTTTCACCATAAATTGTACTGCCAAAGGAGGATATTTGCCATAATTACCATGCTTAACGACTGCTGGTTATAAACTGCAGTTTTATTTTCTAGTTGTACGAATACGCTATCCATCTCCTGGTTTTGTTTCCCCCTTTCGCCTTTTACCACACCCACGGTACGATACGGGTATTGGATTTATTTACACCACCACTGCACGGTCAACTATCGATTTTATACGATCTATTTTATAATTATGAAAAAATTTGTAACCTATATTCAAAAGACATCGGATTATAATGGATGCACTACAATGAAAATAAACGTTAAATGTCAAAACGAATATATCTACGAATCTCAACTCACCAGAGTAACACAGTCGAACTCCTACTGAATACGGTCTATATAATCGAAATGCGGCCTATATAATAACATGACTTGCAATTCGTATTGCGATCACTGTTCTCTAATCCATATGCCTTGTGTTATGGTAACAGAAGACGGATTGGGAGGGAACTAGTTTATGTACAATGGACTCTTTATAGCTGATGATGGACGATTGACTGATAGAGGCGAAGGTAGAGCAAAAAAAAACATCTAGAATTACAGTTGATATCTTTATCTTAGGTGTCGACACCTGTAACTGTGCCAGTTGGATGCTGGGCACTCCGTGTCGTCACAAGATTGAAGAGTTCATCCGCCAGGGAGTTTTACGACTTTGATCAGGATATCTACATACTCTTCAACCCATGGAATCCGGGTATGTATATGTAATAAAACTTAAGTTTGTGCATCACCATCATCATTACAACTCTTCAAAAGTCCACCGCTGAACATAGGTCTCCCACAAGGAATGTCACAAAAAACGGTTCTAAGCCACCTGCATACATCGACTTCCTGCATCTTTTACGAGGTCGTAGCTCCATCTAGTGGGTAGCCAAATTAATAAAATTTACAGTTTTAAGCTCGTAAAGTATCTCATCAATAGTATTTTTAAGTCCACTGGAAGATCAAGGACTTTCCATGAATATGATAATCGACTACATTCGTAAGATTAACCTAGCCACCTAGCTGAGTGGTCACACCTGGTCCTCTCCAATCTGTTTGTCAGCGTGACGATTAAGGGAAACTCTCTGTAAAAGAAGAACTTTTAAGTGGTAGGAGTCCTCTGCCAGGGGCTCCATCTGGGAAGGTACTATTACCCTCTACCTATTACCGCCGCCAAATAACAGTGCTTGCCTGTTCCGTTCTGAAAGGGTATAAGGAGCCTGTATAGTAACAGGCAGCAAGACCATCTTAGCCCTCGGAAGTGACAACACGTCTGTAGTTTTCTTTGTTTGAATCTGGCTGCAGGTGTTCGTGGAGTGCAGTAGCCACTTACCATCAGATGGACTGTGAGTTCGTTTGCCACTTCATTTTTATAAAAAAAAAACTGTGTGTGTATTTATTCAGGCACTTAGGAAGTTATACTTCTTTAGCGTGACAAAACAAAACAAATTAAGAGACAAGAAGCCACTGAAGTTTTCGCTTTTAGGTGTCAGTGTGCGCGCGCATCATAACAACTTCATGGTGTCGTTTAAGGTGTCGGTGTGCGCGCGCATCGAAAACATTCACTCGCATTTTTCCCAAACGCCCCAAAAGTAGTATATCTTCAAAATAACACTGGTAGTTGCAGTATGAGGATAATGGGTCTTAAGTCGTCTCTTACCAAATGTCCTCAGCTGAATCTGGGCCTCCCCACAGATTACATCATATAGATATTTGCCATAATTGCCACCCTTGGCAAGCGGTTTGGAAATCGCAGTTTTTATTTTTTTATTTTTAGTCGTTATTAGGAAGACACTGCTGCCCATCTCCTGATTTGTTTCCTTCTGTTACTTCTCACGGCACCTACGGGACGATATGGGGTAGTGGATATTCTTACACCGCCACTGCACGGTAACGAGATACTTGACTTTACTTGTACTTATAATGCAGCATCACGTATTTATCCCATAAAACCGTCATCACTGGGCACAAAATATTACTGTAACTTATATCATTCACGTGCAGATGACCAAACTTACATGGAGGACACCGCTCTGCTCCAAGAGTACGTGCTGAATGATGTCGGCAAGGTGTGGGTGGGGCCAATTAAGACCACACGTGGGAAGCCGTGGTTCTACGGACAGTTTGATGCAGCTGTGCTTCCCGCGTGCATGTTCATGTTGGACAGAGCTGAAATGCCTTTCCACCTGTAAGTACATACATTTATATTCCTTACCTTAACTTGTGTAAGATGTTTTCTCATTTAATGAAAGTTTAATGAATAAATATTATAATGTCTTATGGTATATTGCTATGGGGTAATGCGACTGACATTGAAACTATCTTTATTTTGCAAAAGAGAGCCATAAGAGCAATTTATAACCTAGGTCCGAAAGAATCCCGTAGAGAAAATTTTAAAGAAATAAATATATTAACTTTGGCCTCTCAATATATTTACGAGAATTTACTGGACTCCAAAGAGTCAGTAACTTCTTCATGGGGCAATGTGTACGCTTTTATAACAAAGTCCCAGAAAATATGCATACCCTTTCTATCAAAAGGTTTAAATTATTTATTAAGCAAAAATTGTCTAGTAAGGGTTATTATACCACTAAAGAGTACATGACTGATAATAACCCCGGGGAATGAGGTGATCGCTACCATGATGTTTCTAAATGTTTTCATAACAATTGTATTAAATATTATATTGTAAATGGTGCTTTTTAAAAAAAAAGTCTCGCTGAGTTTCTTGCTGGTTCTTCCCAGGACAGAGGTTTTTTTTTTGCGAACCAGTGGTAAAAGTAAAGAAATAACTTTCAATAAGTTTTTTTTTTATAGGATCGGGTGACAAACGAGTACACAGTCCACCTGATGGTAAGTGGTTACTGTGACCCATAGACATCTACATCTATCCTCAATAAAGACTCAAGATGCAGATGCGTTGTCACCCGTGAGGACTAAGATGGAATGCCTCTTTGCCAATAAAAAGGGTCTCCGGTTCTCTACGCTCACCATACGAAACACAACAGCGTTAAGCTGCTATTTTACGCTGGTTTTCTGTGAGAGCGTGGTCCTTCCCCGGTCGAGCCGACCCATTCGTGCTACAACCATAATATAGCTGCAGCATGGCTCTACCACGTAGAATAGTATTATGTATTATAATGTATATTGAATATAAATGATTCTATTCTATTAAATAATAATGTCCTCCAGCCCGACTTTCGATACAGCGCCAAGTATCAACGAGGTCTAGCCATATGTTCAGTATAGGATTATAGTGCACGAGTGTGTGCGCAAACATTGGTGCACTCTCCATATTCTCTTTCTCATAGTCCGATGGGATGGAAATCCAACACGACTAGGGAGAGAGCAAGCGCGTGATCAACTGGCTATCGTGCTTTCTGAGGCACGGGGGGAAACATCGCCAACATTACTTACTTAGGCCTGCTTCTAAGAATTTCTGGACAAACAACCGAATAGTAGAATGTTTTCCTCTATATTCGAGGCATACATTACATAAGTATGTATGTAATGCATTACATAAGTACATAAAATGCAAAAGGACGCACATCCAGATCCGGAATAGGTATTTGTAGGTAGGGTTACCAGGGTTTATTTTAAAGGACGTCTTCTATTTCACACCCAAAAATAATCCCTTAATTTGAAATTTTTAATAGAGGATAAGGTTTAGAAATCCCGTTGAAGTGACACACGATAGTAAAGGGACAAATTATGTTACATTGTGTATTATCATTGCTTTCTTCTATACATATAATAAAACTGTAAATAGCAGATGTCTGTACATTTTATATTTTTGTAATAAAAGTGATTGAGGGGTACTAAAAATAAGTAATTAAATACATTTCTACCATTTTTAGAATTTTCTGTCTGTCTGTCTGTCTGTCTGTCTGTCTGTCTGTTTGTTTGTTAACGTATCACGTATAAAGTACTAATTTATATCATATGAATTGTTAAGGAAATTATAAAGTGTATCTTCGGGTTACATTTAGTCTTTATTTCATTAAAATCAGTTCATTCCATCAAAAGTTATGATAAATATTCTGAAGTATGGGTAGGGAAGTATAGGTACGAATTTGCTCAACGGTGGCTTTGTTTGAGTCATCAAGTGCATTTTAAACTTATATCATATCATAAATCATAGTTAAATTATGTAAAATAATGATATAATTATGTATATCTAAAACGCAGTAAACAAAAGTATTAATGAACGTATTAAATATATTATACAAAAATATATTAACCTTATTAACTAAATCTGAAGCACAATAGTTAACCCATTTCTTCGATAGATGGTGGTGTTGTGAAAATGTAATGCAATTGCAATGTGGTTTTATCCTGTAGATGAGTTTTCATATTTACTGCTAATCTTTATTATATTACTCGTTGCCCTACTGCGTGTTGACAAACTCAATTTATTCTTTACCGCCGAGTACTCTATGTGGTAAATCAAATTTTAAAAGAGCTATTAACAATTGCGTTGGTTTTGGCGAGAGTCAAACTTTATTTTTTGCTTACTGTGTAAGCACTGATTTATAAGTTCTCTTGCGTTTTATATAATGTATCAATCGCGTCAATTAATCTCTTTTATTTTTAGAATTGATGTTAGCAGCGCCATCTCTCTTTAAATATATACATATAATAAAAATGATGATAACATGTTGTGTCTCTTTCTGTACATTGTATATATATTTTAGTGGCTAAAATCATTATGGGGAACTGAAAATAATTAAATAAGAACATTTTATAATTTTTAGAATTGTCTGTCTGTTATTATATGAACGCATCACGTCTAAAGTAAACATCTTTTATTTTCAAAGAAATCGTTAAGAAAATCATAAAGCGTATCTTCGAGTTACATTTAATCTTTGTTTTATTAAAATTGGTTAATTCTATCGAAAGTAATGATTATTATTTTGAAATGTAGGTTCGAATTTGTTCAATGGCGCCATAAAATCTCAGAAATAGTAAAAAAAAGATGTGTGTAAAAAAAACGTTCAATAATAATTAATATATTTATACTTAAAACACAAAAAGAGATTTAAAAAGGATGTTTTCTCACACAAAGGACGTAATAGATGGAGTTGTACAAATTACAAACTTTTCTGAATTGCTATGTTGAGATTTTTCGCCGATGAATCGTATTGAGACTTACTGAAGAAATTTGTATCCATCAAAGCTATAGAACGGAACCCGACCATAAATAAAAATTTTGCAACGAAATGTCGTGATATTGTATTTATAATATACGCAAAATCAGTACTGCCATTTTAGCGCTTTGGGAACTAGATTTAGCGCTTTTTTGGAATGTATAGCGCGCATTTCGAAATTTTAGCACCTAGCTTAATCCAGCGCTTTTTGGTGTATTTAGCACACATTTCAATATTTTAGCGACTAGCGGGTTATTAACTCTTTTATAGCAGCACTGTTAGTCCACATTACCGATAATAATAATAATGACCTTTATTATTTTTTCCCACAAATAGTACATTGCAGTTTATCTTTTACAAACATATTTTTTCCACAAAACAAAGAGCATGGGAGACGAGTCCAAACTAGGATACCCTGTGCTATGGATCTCCTGGCTTCCCCTTTAGGATGATCAACTTGATTTTTTTACCGACGACTATAAGCGGGGAAATCCCCTTTATTAAAGTTTTCGTTCATGGTTTTGGCAACGCATTTATTTTGCTTTATTCAGTTTCAGTCAGTTGCTTAGAGCACAGCTAAGTTAAAAGTTACTTAGAAGTTATAACACAAAGAAACTGTGTAGCAACCGCAATCAGATGCTGACATCTGAAACTAAGTTGCGAAATACATTGCACTTTAAAACAATTAATGACATTTTTATTGTTCGTACAGTACTAACTACTGTTGACAGCAATTGCCATAATTATAAGTCGATGTCCTGCGAAGTATTGATACATCAAAAAAATATTGCCAGAAAAAAAACTTAATGTTGTTTTCTTTATTATGATTGTATAAAAAAACACAAACTTTGTTTGTAGTTAATATAGCGCGAAATCTAGGGCTTTTTTAAAGCACTGTTTTCATGAAATCTAGCGCTTTTTGTGTTGTCCTAGAGCTGAATGAGTTTTTTTTTATCTGGCAGCACTGCCCAAAAACCCTCTATTAAGAAGTAACTTTCCTTTCAGTTTTAAGCGCGTTCAGTTCCCAGTTACAGTGAGCGTGTGTTATGCGATGACCGTAAATAAAGCGCAAGGTTAAACTTTACGCGTTGTAGGAGTGTACCTCAGTACTGACTGTTTTGCACATGGCCAACTCTATGTTGCTTTTTCCCGCGTTAGTAGCCCCCGTAACCTTTTTGTGTATGCCCCGGCTAAGCCTACTTCTAACGTCGTTTACACAGAAGCTATATCATAAACGACTTAGAACTTTGATGATAATGATTTATTTAGTTACCACTTATTGATACAGTAATGAAATAAATCATTTAATATTCTCTTACCTAAACGACAAATTCTTTATGTAAAACCTGTATACGCGAGCTACGCCGCGGGCACAGCTAGTCTATAATATAAAAATGAATCGCTGAATGTGTTGCTAAGCGCAAATCTCGAGAGCAGCTGAACCGAACACTAATTCTTTTTTTTATAATATTCCTTGAAGTACGAAGATGGTTCTTACGGAGAGCAAAATTTAAAAAAATTGCCTGAAAAACTCTAAAAAAACTTTTCTATATTCCCATACAAAAGATACGTAATAATACTTAAAAGTCAATTTGAACTTTAATACCATACCATAAAGTTTAAGTGTTAGTGGAGGGGTTCCGGGAAGGCAAAACAAATGAGTGACGTTAGTATCGTATGAATATTAATGTCAATATTTGTCAATATTTATACACACTGGCAGATAGCTGATGTTATAAAGAGTAACTTGGGCTGCTTTTTTTTTAGGGTTCCGCGAAAAATAACCCCACGCGGGCGAAGTCGCGGGGAGCAGCTAGTTATTAATAAATATCGATACTGATACCATGACAGCGTTTTATTGGAAATAATTGTAATAATATCCTCTATTTTTATCCTATGTCCTTTATTTAATCTTATCAGATCCTTTAAACCATATAACGGGAGCTGGTAACGTTATTTATAGGCCATACAAACACTTAACCCGTGCGGGATTCGAACTCAGTTAGCCACTGCACTACGGAATTGTCAGTATCAAATACATATACCCCGTGACATTATCTTTGTGCACTTAAATTAAAACTGACCTGTTTTCTCAGACGTGGTGATCCAGTAAAAATGACTCGAGTAATCTCTCGTATTGTAAACTCGAACGACGATGCCGGTGTCCTAGTGGGACGTTGGGACGGGCAATACGAGGATGGTACAGCGCCATCAGAGTGGACAGGATCCGTTGACATCCTCGCACAGTACCTGGAGACGCAGCAAGAAGTGCCCTATGGACAGTGCTGGGTGTTCGCTGGTGTTGTAACCACAGGTAAGTGGCTCCGTACAAATTACAGACAAAGTGTTATGTGGTAATAGTTAGTAGGACTCGTTTTCTGCCTAGAAGTTCGTCTGGTTACCACCTCTTACGTATTTCTGTCGTCAAATAGTAGTACTATGTCTTTTTTTTATAGAATAAGGGTGACAAACGAGCACACAGTCCACCTGATGGTAATTGAATGCTGTGGCCCATAGACATCTACATTTATTCTCGTTTGCGAATCAAAATGCAGATGCGTTGTCAACCTTGAGGACTAAGATGGAATGCTTCTTTTCCAATAAAAGGATCTCCAGTTCTCTACACTCACCATACGAAACACAGCAGCGTTGAGCTGCTATTTTATGCTGGTATTCTGTGAGAGCGTGGTCCTTCCCCGGTCGAGCCGACCCATTCGTGCTACAACTATACTACTAATATAGCTGCAGCATGGCTCTACCACGTATAAAAACTGCGGTTTTTCAGTCTGTAAGGTATAAAGAGTTTGTATATATAGAGTAATTACAGGCAGTAAGGTGTTCCATCTAAGTCCAACAGCCCATGGACTGCAGTAGGTAAGTATATGGTAAGTAGCTACAACAGTCCATGGACTGCAGTAGGTAAGTATATGGTAAGTAGCTACAACAGTTCATGGACTGCAGTAGGTAAGTACATGGTAAGTAGCTACAACAGTCCATGGACTGCAGTAGCTACTCACCATCAGGTGGACAGTTCTTCTTCACTTCATTTAAAAGAAATGTATTCTCATTCATTCATTTGTAACAGCCCACATCCCGTTTAACGGCGGTGCAAGAATATCTACAACATAGGGTAGTGGATATTCTTGCACAGCCTTGATAGAGTGTCCTGAAGTTGTACTTCAGTGACTGCTACTGCAACTCCTCGAGTAGGAGTAGGTGCGCCGAGTTAGGGCTCGTTTTGTTAGTTATGAATAGACCTTACCTCCGGACTTGATAGATTATATATAATACGTCATGGACTTTATGGAGTGACCTGAAGTTGTACTTCGGTGACTGCTACTGGAACTCTTTGACGCCATTACACATCCTGTGTAGTGGCGATGCAAGAATATCCACTACCCTATAACGTCCTGTGGGTCTCGTAAGAGGCGATAGAGGGAAATTGAAACGGGTGATTGACAGCAATATCTTCCTGATAACAAATCAAAATAATAAAAAAACTGCGGTTGACAATCCGCTCGCCAAGCGTGTCAACTATGGCAAAATCCCTTGTGGCGGCGCTGTCGTCGCGCACAAGCAAAAATACATCGAAGCCTAAATCGCACTATCAAAGTTCCGAACTAAAAGCAGAATAGCTCCGAACTATCACTCGGAGTGTTGGCCGCTCCCCGGGCAGAACACCTTGCCCGGCGGGAGATCTCCCCTTTTCCTTCCACCGGCCACACCGCCACACCCTCTTATGAGGCAATCTATGGGGGAGGCCTATGTTCAGCAGTGGAGTTTAATAGGCTGCAATGTATGATTTCTATTATAGCCCATCAAAAGTCCAATTATGAACATAGTTCTCCCCAATAGATTGCCTCAAAGAGACGTTTTCCATGGTTGCCACGCTTGTCAGTTGGGTTGGTAACCGCAGTTTTTTCTACCGACTTCAAAAAGGAGGAGGGATTCAATTCGACTGTATGTTTTTTATGTGTGTGTTACCTCATAACTTTTTCTGGGTGAACCGATTTCGATGATCCTTTTTTTATTTGATAGCTGGTGCTTACCATGTGGTCCGATATAAATTTGGTCATGGTCTGACCAATAGTTTTTGAGTTATTCTTAATAATTTATATTGGAGTCGGTTGTACAAAATTTTTAATTTTTATTTATTTTAAATATTATTGTGGTCTTATCAGGAAGATGCTGTTCCTCAACTCCTATTTAATTTCCCTCTTATCACACCCACGACATGGGGTAGTGCATTCTCTTACGGCGCGCCACTACTACACTGCATATAATATATGTTTATAAATCATATTAAATAGACGTAATAAAAAATGTGTACATTGTTATATTCATAGAGTTATTTTTAAACAAACTGATACAAGATCCATTAAGATAGGATAATGCCGGAGGTTATCGTGTCAAATAAATTATGAAGTAATAATTTTTGGGTGCTATCTTTTTGCATCACTTTAGGTGGGTACGTGCTAGGGTTAAATTAAAAAGACAATGAATTTTTAATTAATGAGGATTTTTTATGTTTAAAATAAATTCTCGTTTCGTTGTTAGCTTATTTCATTGCTAGACCTTTTTAAGAATGCCCAATTGGGCATGTATTTTTTATACAGTTCCCATATATCCACACTAACTAGCTGTTCTCACCAGGATTGGTGGGCACAGAATCGAGACCAGAGAGTCTAGCGATTGGTAAATTACGTAAAAATGAATTTAAATTTGTGATATTTATTAAGTGCGGCAGTTTGGATGGATTTCTCTATCAATAATTCGTCAAAATCTCAATTGTTATTTAACAGTGTATGTATCATATGCATTTGACTTAGGTCCAAGGTTTCAAAAGTATTAAAACTGGAAATACTTGTTCTTCTTCTTTATAAACTCGTCAAAGTCCATTGTTGGATATGGACTTCTCCCGTTATAGAGGATTTGCTTTAGCCGGTACGTTTAACAGACGGATGGACGATCGCAGCACCCGACGTCAAACACCTTTCTTTTTATAGAATAAGGGTGACAAACGAGCACACAGCCCACCTGATGGTAAGTGGTTGCTGTGGCTCATAGACATCTACTATCTTCGTTTGCGAATTAAAATGCAAATGCGTTGTCAGCCGTGAGGAGTAAGATAGAATGCCTCTTTTCCAGTAAAATGGGTCTCCGGTTCTTTACACTCGCCATATGAAACACAGCAGCATAAGCTATTTTACGCTGGTATTCTGTGAGAGTCGGTCCTTCCCCGGTCGAACCGTCCCATTCGTGCTACAACTATACTATAAATATAGCTGCAGCATGGATCTACCACGTAAAAATTTTACAATATTTTACTTTTCAATATTTTCCTTTGGCGTAAACGAGCGGTAAACTCACTATCTATCTGAAGTCATAAGTTTTCTAGTATTTACCATAGTCGTCTTTTCCATCATCCAGGAGACGAAACAGGGTGATGAAATCTCTTAAAAGGCGGACAGGTCCATTAAATAACAAAATTTTTATGAAATTATAAAATTATGTATGAGATTCAATCAAAAATGTATACATGGAACAGCCACGCTGCAGCTGTATTATGGATGCAGCATAAGTGATTGGCTCGATAGGGGAACGGGGAAAGACCACACTCTCACAGTGTAAAATAGCAGTATAATGTTGCTGTGTCTTCGTATCATGAGTATAGAGAACCTGGGACACTATTTATTGGTAGCGAGGCATCCCATTTTAATTCTCAGGTATTGTAACAAACATTTTAGTCATAGTTATAGCATACTACGTCTCGGCACAGGCCTCTTCACATTTTTATCACGTGGTAGAGCCACGCGGCAGCTTTTGCTGTCGCACGGATGGGCCGGCTCGAACCGGGGTGGTACCACGACCTCACAGAATACCAGCGTGAAGTAGAGGTTTACCTCTGCGTTTCGCTTGGGGAGTGCAGGTGGCCGGAGGCCCTTTTTACTGGAAATGAGGCATTCCATCTTAGTCCTCACGGGTGGCAACGCATCTGCATTTTGATTCGCAAACGAAGATAGATGTAGATGTATATGGGCCGCAGCAACCACTTACCATCAGGTGGACTGTGTGCTCGTCACGTTGTCACCCTTATCCTATAAAAAAAAAATTTCTGAGAAGGTTTTAGAGCTAGGAAAATTCCGCCGCGCTGCCCCAATGCCTGTTGGTGGACTTCACATGTCTTCGAAATATTATTTTTTTAATTTCTAAAACATGCAGGTTTCCTCCCAATGTTTTCCATCACCGTAGAGCACGTGGTAAATTTTGATCATATATGAGTATAATAAACAACTCCATACTTTCAATTTTTTTCAGTGTGTCGCGCTTTGGGCATACCCTCTCGTGTGGTCTCCAACCTGGTGTCAGCTCATGACGCCAACAGCTCTTTGACAGTGGACAAGTACTATACGGAGACAATGGAAGAACTGGATTACGACCCCAACAACCCCGCTGGAGCCGACTCCATCTGGAATTACCATGTGTGGAATGACGTTTGGATGGCGAGGCCCGATCTCCCACCAGGTAAATGGCTTAAATAAACTTAAGAAACAAATATCGATTTCTTATTTAAATTTCTCTGTCGGGGCATGTGTTTTTCACCGACCATGCATTTATTCACACGGTTGGTTGGCAACCGCAGAATTTTATGTTTAGTCGGTATTAGGAGGACGCTGCTGCCCATTTACTTATTTATTTCCCTCTGTCACCAATACCATATAAGATACCAACGGAATGATATGGGGTAGTGGATATTCTTACACCGCCACTACACGGTAGGAGCGAATATATTCAAGGCAAATAAAAAAAATATTTTTTTTCGTAGGTTTTGGTGGTTGGCAGGCCATTGACGCCACACCACAAGAGACATCCTCGGGCCTGTACCAGTGCGGTCCGGCACCATTAGAGGCCATCAAGCAGGGGGTAATCGGGCTTGGTTACGATGTAGAGTTTATGTTGGCTTCCGTGAACGCTGACCTCATGCGCTGGAGGAAAGACCCCGAATCGGAGAGTGGGTACTCCATGGTGGATACCAATAATTATCAGTGAGTATATTTTTCTTCTTCAACCTCATCAGTCTAGTTACGTTACATAAACCTTTCTCTACCTTATTTTTTACTATGTGGTTAGACTTTTTTTTTATATTCTACTAAGCCAGCGCTTATCTTCGATCCTACCTTACGGTTAGTGGTGATGTAGCCTAAGATGGTGAAGTGCGCTGACTTAACAAAAGCCTATTCACTCTGGCCTTGAAGACACCCACACTGTAATCAGATGGAAAGCCAGATGCTGGCAACTTATTCCACTCCTTTGATATACGCATGATGAACGACGTGGCGAACCGTTTGGTTCGAATGCGTGGTAAGTCAACAACGAAAGGGTGGAGACTGGCCGAACGTCTAGTTGTCCGATGGGGGAAGGGAGAGGGAGGAATTAAATTATGTAATTCCTGCGCACACTCTCCAAAATGCATCCTGTAGAAAACCGAAAGGCTGGCTACTTTGCGTCTGTGTTCGAGGCTGGTAAGATTGGTTTTAACCAAATTCGGGTCACCAATAAACCTCTTAGCACGCCTTTTCATTGAGTCCAAAGCTGCTCGGTGGCATTTCGCAGCACCAGCCCATATATGGCAGCAATACTCCATACACGACCGTAAAGTAAGCAGCTGTCTCGGCGTGAAGTATCGCCCCATCTTTGCAGGGACTCCCTTCCCAAGGACTTCTTTTTTGTCAGGGAGCTAAGAGCACGTCTGAGTAGATACCATCCTGCAGCCTTCGTTATTAGAAGTTGATTGCAAGTGTTCATAGGTGGCAGTAGCCACTCACCATCAGGGGGACTGCAATTTCATTTGTCACTTCAGTTTTATAAAATGAAAAAAATAATAAAAGTAAGGAGTAAGAAAAAGTAATAGCTGCCTGATAAGCGATAGCTAGACCAGTGAGGTTAACTTAAGTGCTGTCTTCAATATAATTGGTAATGTTAGTAAAGACTTTTAAAAGAATGAGAATGACACAACGTAATGTTACGTGACATTAATGTGACCATTGATTTCATTCGCTTGTATAGTTTTCTATTAGTTAACGATTGCTGAATGTCAACTTGGCTAGCCCAGCTACTTATCACAAGCTTATATAGCCATGACATATTTAAAAATAAAGCTTATAAAGCTAATATTATTATTATTAGCGTGTTAAAATACGCTTCATTAGTTTAGCAAGTGTATAATTATATGTATGATCGTGTAGTAGCGGTGCATATTGTGCCGTGGGTGTCGTAAGAGGCGACAGAGGGAATCTGAAACAAGAGACAGGCAGCAGCGTCTTCCTGACAACAATTAAGAATTAAAAAAGGGTGTGTACCTAAGTACGCACGTAGGAAGTTATACTTCTATAGCGTAACAAAACAAAAAATCTTGAGAGACAATAATTACCCACTGAAGTTGTCGCTTTTAGGTGTCAGTGTGCGCGTGCATCGTAACAAATTCATGGTGTCGTTTTAGGTGTCGGTGTGCGCGCGCATAGTAATAGTTCATTCTCATAATTTTTCCCAAACGCCACAAAAGAAGTATAACTTCGAAACTGCGATTAGCAACCGCATTTTAAGTTCAACCCGCCTACCAACGTGGCAACTATGGCAAATATCCGGGCAGGCAATCTATGGGGAAGCCTGTGTTTAACAGTGGACTTTTGAAAGGTTATAACGGTATGTAGGTATACATGGGTAATATGAATGAATACAATCATCACCCACTTCCGAGCGTCTGAACTCAATTTCCAAAATGCAGTCTTATTAAGAACCGATGACAATACAATGAATGATGTTATAATTATCATCTGGATTTCTCACTAGGGTCAATAATGTAAAAAAATAAGTTCTTTTCTCGCTCAGTCTAAGTATCCAGCGTTCTAAGCACTGTACCGCGGGGATCAGGACAGTTTAATTTGATAATTTAAGTTTTTTTAGTATCAGTTTTTCTTATGTTAAAAAATATTGTTAATTTTAATGTTTGCGTCTTCCGCAGCATCGGTCGCATGGTTCTCACAAAGAAACCATACGTGTTCGACCCTCTGGGCGATGAGGACAGGATGAACATTACCGCCGAATATAAGCACAGTGAGGGTACAGCCTCCGAGAGGCTGGCTCTAATGAATGGAGTTCGTTACTCCGAGAGGGCTAAGAGGTGAGTTATTAATATAAAAATAATATTTGTTGTTCGCATGAATGTTGTTATCCTGATAATTTGGTTCTTTCCATCTTCTGTTATACGAGTTTGGTACTTTCCATCTTATGTTATAGAGTTTTATAAGCTTAATCTTTCTAGACGTCTCAATTTTAAGATAAAATATTCACTTCGTGTTTATTAAACCGCTGCTAAAATTTTGCATATTTTAAAATAATTTCCATATAATAGCTTCAGATATCGGGGCCTTAATACTTGTACTATGTATTTCGACGACTTTTTAAGCTATTATGCAGAAATTGTTTTAAGTTTTTTAGTTTTTTTGACTTTTTACTCAAAGTCAAATTTTTTCTATCCACCACAGGTACTTTGCTATAGCTGGCAACCTCAACAGTGACATCACTTTCAATCTGCGCGAAATCGACACTGTATCTATTGGACAGGATTTCAGAATCACAGTCGATATTGACAACACGTCCAAAGAGGTAAGCAAAACATTAAAAATACAATAAACAATTAGATAGAAACGATGTTCATAATTCTGTAAAGGGCAGAAATTACGGTCTTCCACTTGACCCGATCCTGGCACACATCTCTCTGGGAAAATTATAACTTGACCCATCTTCAATATAATATTGTCGATTTGTAATTTGGTCGATAACCTTTCACCTAGGGTGACCCTTGCCGACTCTGCTACTCACTTCTTCAGAATAAATTTGCATGGTCACTCTTTTCTTTATCCATTATCTCTACTACTCTTCGAAACTACCGAAGGATCCCATTTCATAATCCTGGTCATAACATGTTTTTGCAAACCAAACTTTTTCCGTATCGCAAAATTTCTCGCCGTATCATTCAGTCACTCCTAAATATACTAGTTAATGACCGCATTTCTACAGCATTAACCTTGTGCTTCTTCTGCCACACCCAACTTTCAATACGTACGTGCCTTTATTGACACATTCTGACTTCCGACAATAGAGTGAAATGTCCCATTTCCTCTGAGTATGTTTTATCTTTGTCATGTCTACTATTCCTGCTAAACACACATTCTAAATACACGAATTTCCCTTCATTCTTATTTCACATATCATTTTACTTTCTTACGTTGCAAATGGCCGACCGACGATCGGGCTTTCAAAGTATCCAAACAGCTGTCCATAAACGGATTGAACAACTAAAACTACCAACAATTCCATCTGACACCTTTATGGATATTAAACCAGTCCATCTACGCCGTGTTGATCATGACAAGGATTAGAGTAAAGAGATTTTAATGCTTAAATCAAACCCGAGTTCAACCCAAGCGAGGCCAGCGTTTACTATAGATCAAACGTGTCCACTCTGTCATAGGCCTTTTCAAATTCTAAAACTGCACAGATAACCTTCTGGTTTTCGGCCAAACATTTCTCTGTGATCATGCGCATATAAAGACCTGATCCGAAACCCTGACGATATTTATTGCGTATATTATTCACAAATTCTGTTTTGTTTAGGGTCGCAACATAAAAGCAGCTTTATCGGCAACGAGCGTGTTCTACAACGGAGTAAAAGCGGAAGTTGTTAAAAAGGTTGAAGGAAAAGTTTTCGTGGGCCCTGGAAAACGTAAGTTTTAATTATTTTTACGTTCACAGTACGCCACTACACAGCAATAATACACAGAATACCAGCGTAAAATAGCAAGCTAATGCTGCTGAGTTTAGCATGGCGAGTGACGGGAATCGGAGGCCGTTTTTACTGGTAACGAGGCATCTAATCTTAGCCTTTCGAGGTGACAAAGCATCTACATTTTGATTCTTAATCGAGGATAAGCGTAGGTGTCTTTGGGGTATACCATCCACTTACCATCAAGTAGAGTGAGTGTTTGGTTATTTCTGAAAGGGGTCTAAAAAAGCCAAAGGGGGTAGAATTTGAAAAAGGCGACTATTCAGAAACTGATTATGATTTCTGTCTTCAAGTCGCCAATAATAACTACTTTAAAATTTAATTTTCTTTTTTATGATTTAAAGGCGCTGTGGTCAGAAATATTTCTTAATAATTTTCTTATCTCTAATTACATTACCGAGGAGCAGCTTAATAAGCTTGAGCGCATTCAAAATGTATGTATTAGATTTATATTCGGGCTTCCCAAATATGATAATATCTCTGAATTTCGCAAACAGCTCAAATGGCTCCCGATCTGCCTTCGCAGGAATAATCACTTTCTCTCGCCTTTGTATTGCGTGCTGTTTAATCTTTCCACTACTCATTATTTAAAAGACCGTTTCCAGTATCTTTCCCTTACCCATAATCGGTTCCTTCGATTCTCTGTCAATCTTTCGCTCTCTACTCCTTCGCACTCTTCCTCCTTGTTTAAGAAATCCTTTACTGTAACTGCTGTCCGTTTGTGGAACTCTTTACCTCTCCACATTCGTCGTGCTCAATCTCTTCATTCTTTCAAGTCTTGTTAAATCGTATTACTTAGAACGCTATTAGATAGCTTTTCATTTAATCTATTATATTATATCATAAATAATCTTCACTTATCTTTATTTATATGTATTTCCATATTATTATTTTGTACGCCCCCCTCTATTTTTAACTATTGTTTGCATCAGTTCTCTACGCTAAGGTTGTCTGGAAGAGATCACTTTTAGAGTGATAAGACCGCCTGTTGTACATATTCTACTTAAGATTTAATTATACTATATACTTATACTTACAATAGTACACCAAAAAACATAACAAAAACGAGAAATTTAAATCTAAAATCTAATAATTTATTTTAGAGAAAAAAAGATATTTATTTATTTATACTTGCTTGTACAGTAGGGCTACGATGGCTATCCGAGTACAGAACCAGAGTACGAAACCTATCCAATTGCAGAGAGGTGTAAGACAGGGTGACGTCATATCCCCGAAACTCTTCACCGCTGCATTGGAAGATGTTTTCAAGCTTCTGGACTGGAAAGGATACGGTATCAACATCAATGGCGAGTACATCACTCACCTTCGATTTGCCGACGATATAGTCCTTATGGCAGAATCGCTGGAGGACCTAAGCACTATGCTCAATGACCTCAATAGTGTTTCCCAACGGATAGGTCTTGAGATGAACATGGACAAAACAAAGATCATGTTTAATGTCCATGTCACACCTATGCCGGTAGTTGTTGGGAACACTAAGCTCGAAGTTGTTGACGAGTATGTTTACCTGGGACAAATAGTCCGACTAGGTAAGTCCAACTTCGACCGAGAGGTCAATCGACGGATTCAACTCGGTTGGGCAGCGTTCGGGAAATTACGGCACATCTTCTCGTCAGGTATACCTCAAAACTTGAAAACGAGACTGTACACCCAGTGCGTGTTGCCAGTGATGACATACGGAACTGAGACGTGGTCCTTCACTGCTGGCCGGATGAGGAAGCTCAAGGTCGCTCAGCGAGCTATGGAGAGGGCTATGCTCGGAGTTTCTCTGCGTGATAAACTCAGAAATGAGGATATCCGCAGTAGAACCAGAGTGACCGACATAGCTCAACGGATTAGTAAGCTGAAGTGGCAATGGGCCGGCCATATAGCTCGAAGAACCGACAACCGATGGGGAAGAAAGGTTCTCGAGTGGCAGCCTCGTACCGGCAGGCGAAGTGTAGGGCGTCCCCCCACTAGATGGAGTGACGACCTGGTAAGATTTGCAGGAAGTCGATGGATGCAGGTGGCTCAGGACCGTGCTTTGTGGCATTCTTTGGGGGAGGCCTATGTTCAGCAGTGGACTTGTGAAGGGCTGTAATGATGATGATGATGACAAAATCTATAAGGAGCCATATCGGGCTGGGTTTAGGCAGCCATTTAACTTAAAAGCTGTGCTAAGAATAGATACATTACCATTTTCTTACATTACTTGTAATTATATATATATATATATATATATATATATATCTAATATATACAGATGAAGAAGTAAGCATCCTGGTGAAAGCGGACGATTACCTTCCAAAGCTCGTGGAGTACTGTAACATGAAGATATCAGCAATGGCCATTGCGGACGAGACCAAGCAGTCGTGGGCTGACGATGACGACTTTCAAATACTGAAGCCCAATATTAACATTAAGGTAAGGTTTATATACTAAGATTTATATGATAGAGCCACACTGCAACTTTATTATCTCCAACACCGGGGACCGGTAAAAAACACGCTTTTATAGAGTACACAGTACAGCTCTACAACGTAAATGAATAAAACAAATTCTCTAAGTATAAATATGTATGTATATATATATCAACAATAGACGAAGGCTCACTGACCGCTTGGTTGACTGATGGTGGAAAGAGAGGGAGGAGTTAGGGTATGTAATTCCTGCGCACACTCTTCTCAATATATCTTTGGGTGTCGTAAGAGGCCACAGAGCTACAACATCTCCATAACAACTCAAAATAATGAAAAAAAAAAGAAACTTGCCACCCACCTGCCAAGCGGGCAACTATGAGGCAATCTGTGAGGGTGGCTTATATTTCGTAGGGGACTTTCGATAGAAGTGAGAGCAATCTACTTCAATATTAAACTATAGAGGAAGTCCTATGCTGAGCGGTATTAAGTGGATTTTTGGCTGTGATGAAAAAAATCGTTTATGTTGGCTTGCGGTGTAAGACGATTGATGGTTGTGTTCCGTCCCCCGGTTCAACGAGGTATTCTAAAAGAGCCTGGTATCCCCGGTCGAGCTGGCCGATTCGCGCTACAGCTATAGTACATACTAGAAACCATAGTTTACAGAGTGGTTCCACCGCGCTACCGTGTAGTGAGAGGTATAACGGTTGGTTCGTCCCCCAGTTCAACGAAGACCTGATCCTGGGGCAGCCGGCGACGGCAGTGCTGTCGTTCGTAAACCCGTTGGAGCGCGCGCTGACGGGCTGCGAGTTCCGCGTGACGTCGGCCGGCGTGGCGGGCCGCACGCTGCGCCTCGCCGCGCCCGACGCGCCGCCGCACGGCCTCGTTTCCGCCGAGCTGCCCGTCCAGCCCAAGGTACACCGACTTACAGGGATTCACTGCCTCCGGGAAACGCTCGCGCCCACTAGCTTCTCTAGTCTTGTCGGGGCATGCTTGAACTTTTTTACTATAAACTGAACTAACAAAAGCGGACTACTTTCCGCTGAGTCGCCGTGTAGACCAAGGTAGCTCAACTTATAGTTACAGGGTTGTACTGCCTCGTTGGTCAAATGATCGTAAGAGTTTTGTACAACAGAAGTGACAAAACCGTGTAGTGGCGGTGTAAGAATATCTACTACCCCATATCGTCCTGTAGGTGTCGGTAAGGGGTGACAAAGGGAAATGACAAAGAAGACACGGAGATAATCGGCAGGAACATCAGCAGAAAGATCCTACTTAATTATAACTTATCAAAATAACAACTGCTGTAAAAGGCCACCCCACGCTTGGCAGGCATTTACAACAGTGGAAAAGTCCACATCCATCCATTACAATAGCAGTGACAAACAAACACATAGTTCACCTGATAGTAATTGCAGCCATGGACATGTCATGACATGACAAGAGACTACCTCATACAAAGAAGGCTGCGGATGCGTTGTCACCTCTGAGGAATAAGATGGAATGCCTCACAGCTAGTGATTACACTACTACGCCCTTCAGAATGGAACAGAGCAGTGCAAGCACTGCTTTTTGGCGGTAGAAATACGTGAGAGAGCAATATCTTTATAGACTGCTTTTTGGCGGTAAAAAATTGTTAAGAGAATGGCCGGGTCTACTCAGACGATCTTCTTAGCATAAAAGGAGTCTTACCACCCAGTAATTTTTATTTATTAGGTTTCTTTTTATAAGAAATTCGCAGTAACACGCACAGAATTTAGATGGAGATGGTTCACCATCGTGCGTCGAATGCACGTAAAGCCTTTAAGTTAGTCTGGTCGTGTCGGATTACCGTCTCATCGGACTATGAGAGTGGGGGAATATAAGGTGCACCTGTACTTGTGCACGCACTGGTGCACTATAATCCTGTCGCTATAATCCAGATCGAAATTCGGCCTGGAGGACATTACACAGGGTTAAATGTAATAAACCGAAACGCTGTCAGTCCGTAATTCCCATCTTTAAAATCAACACTTGTGCTACGAATTTTGAAATTTCGCTCAGAAATTTCTACATAAGGAAACGTCATCAAGAACAATTAAAGACGATGACTGTTTTTTTTTAATATTTATATCTGTAGCTATGAACGTATAATAAGGCGTACATTGAAAGTTTTAAAGTGATTTACTCATTTTCAGTTTTCACATAGAGACTGTAGAACGATTTCATATTTTTTTATACAATGCTTGCAAAAATAAGGGAGGTCGGCGGGGGCCAGAAACCTTCACCAATGAAGTAGCCCTATAATAGGTATTTTCTACATAGGTTCAATTTTTGGTTATAAAGCAAAATTTAGTAAAACAGCACCGTTATCAAACGACCTATGAAAAAGAAAACACATTATACCTAATTGTACCTGCCGACTTCCAAAAAGAAGACGGTACTTAATTCGACTGTATGTTTTTTTTATGTGTGTTACCTCATAACTTTTTACCGGGTGAACCGATTTCGATGATTCTTTTTTTGTTTGAAAGCTAAGACTTCTCGTGTGGTCCCATATGAATTTGATCACGGTCAGAGCAATCGTTATTGAGTTATTCTTAATAACTTATATTGAAGTCGGCTGTACAAAATTTTTAATTTTAAATTATTTTATTTTACAGAAACTAGGTACAATAAACTTTGTGGCGACATTCAAGTCGGCGGAGCTCAAGGACATCAATGGAGCGGTCAGCGTTGAAGTGTTCGAGGGTTAATTAACTCAATTTGTTATCGTGTAACTGCGAATTTCGTGACGAGAAAGAAAATTAAATATGAACATACTCGTAATTAAGTTTAGAGGTTAAGAACCTATAAAATTTTAAAAGAAGTTGTTAAAATATTTAATATGTATTTTTTAAATATTTTTAAAATCAGTTTCATTTTTCTTTATACGTACCTAAGAAAATTTGTTACAATAAAATTACAAATACAATAAATTATTATTTAAAATAAATTTAGACAAAGTGCCAAACTAAATTTTTTATACATGAAGCTTAGTTATGTTAAGATATGCCATTCCCCAGAGATTTAAATATATATTTATACTATAGAGCGGACATAGGGAACATTTGCATACAAAACTTTGAGCTCACGCGAGTGTGACGCCCTCTAGCTAAACATAGCAAAATTACGCTGACTATTTATTAGGAAAACATTTCAGCTATTCCCCAGTAGGTGACGCTAATAAATGTAAGGTAAAAACTCGTTTTAGGAATGTTACCGTTTCGACATCAAAGTATCGATAATATAGTTGAAGGTTACTAAGTTTATAATAATTTACGATATGATAATAGGGAATATGCGTGCCTTTTTATTGTAAAAATCTATTTATTATGACTCCCATCACACCAAAAAAATCATATAAGCTTTTTAAGTCATGAATAACGTCATGAATGAAATGAATTGTTAAGAAATAAAATATTTAATTTCCAATAACTAAGAATCAATTCAAACAGCAGTCACATTGGTGGCATCTTGGATGTCGTCACTAAAGTCAAAAACATAATGCGTGGAATGAATGATCCACTAATATTTGAACTGTCTGGGCCTTAGCATAAGCTTAGCTTAATCTTAGCCCGATACAACTACAAAATAAAAATCAAAGTGTATGCTTAGCATATACTCAGCTAAGTTTTCCGTAAGCTAAGTCTGAGCAAAGTCAAAGTACGTTCTATAGATCTCAGCCTAATTGTCACAAATCCGAAGTATATCCTATCCTATAGGACATAAGTACGAGTAAAAGGTTTTTTAAGTAAAAATATTGTTGCTGATGTCCAGTCTATTACTACTGCTTAAATGTCTTTGTCATTCCCATTTATTTCTAAAGTTTTCAATTAATCAGTGTCAATGATTGTAGAATGTCAACTTAGCTAACCCCACCGACCTTTATTTGTGTCGTAGACGATTTTAAGGTTTGCTTAATTTATCAGATGAGTTAAGGGTTAAGGGTTAATTACTTTACTCTTTGGGAGAGGGCTGGACCATCCCCGTTGCCCGATTGGTTCGTCATTCGGTAGTTTGTGATTGTTGCAACCACCATACACAGACTAAGGTCAACCAACAAGCCCCCATAAGTTTTCAAGTCTCACTTTACGTGTGTCTGAAGTCTCAACTGCTGTCATCGCTAAATATTTAGACAAAATGTCAAAATGATATTACTTTAATTTTATCTATGGCACGACTTGACCTGGTAACATTTATTCAATTATGGTAGCTTTTACAATTTTAGAACTGACTGTACAGTTCTGTTCAGATACATTTTATATTAAGATAATGAGATTGTTAATTTTGTCTAGTATTGTAAGTTTATTTAGGCATAGGTTAATATATATATATTTTGTATATACAAAATAAAGTTCTTATTATTTTTAATTACTTTTTAATAATTTCCCAAGAACCTAACAATTCGCCTTTGTGTAGTATTTTCTACCGACTTCAAAAAGAAGACTGTACTCAATTGGACTGTATGTTTTTTTTATGTGTGCTACCTCATAACTCTTTTCTGGGTGAACAGCTTTCAATGGTTCTTGATTAAGCTGGTGGTTCTCATGTGGTCCCATATAAATTTGATCGAGGTCTGACCAATAGTTTTTGAGTTATTCTTAAAAATTTATATTGAAGTCGGTTGTACAAAATTTTTACTTTTAAATAATTAGTTATTACAAACGCACATTTTAAAACGATCAAATGTAATAATATCTTCATCATCATAGTCGCTTAGTAGCCGGTGACCTCATAAGTTTACTACTAATCATAATGTCACAAAACACATCAACTTTCCGCATGACTTTCCAGGTCGATACCCGAGAACATTTCTTTTCCATGGGTTGTTTTTCGAGCTACATATATGGCCATTTTCATTTCAGTTAAATGATCCTTTGGGGCGACGGAAATTATTCTGGTTCTTCAGCGGGATCACCGTTACGCAGAGAAATTCCTAACATAGCCCCATAATATAGATCTCTGGGCAACTTTAGGGTTAAGGTACCTTAACCTCCTCATACGGTCATCAGTTAAGGACTACGTATAGTTTCTTAAATAAGATCGAAGCGATCACCTCATTCCCAGGGGTTATTATCATCCATAAATTCCTTAATATTATAATAACCCTTTTTATACACACTCAGTTTAATAAAGTTTTTGAACTTTGAGTAGGTCAAATTTTGTATATTTTCTGGGATTTTGTTGGAAAAGCATATACATTGCCCCAAGAATGAATTACAGTCAGTAATTCATTCTTGGGGCGATATATACGCATTTTACAGTGGTAGAGCCACGCGGCAGCTTTTGCTGTCGCACGGATGGGCCGGACCTCACAGAAAACCAGCGTGAAGTAGAGGTTCACCTCTGCGTTTCGCTTGGTGAGTGGCCGGAGGCCTTTTTTACTGGAAATGAGGCATTCCATCTTAGTCCTCACGGGTGACAACGCATCTACATTTTGATTTGTAACAGAGGATAGATGTAGATGTCTATGGGCCGCAGCAATCACTTACCATCAGGTGGACTGTGTGCTCGGTTGTCACCCTTATCCTATAAAAAAAATTCAGTTGGTGGAGTCGAGTAACTGGTACTACTAGCTTGTGTCTGTTCCTAGTATTTACAGAATCAATATCACTTATTTTTGTAAAACTACTTTTATTTTTGTGTACGTATATTACATTTTCATAAATGTATTGAGAGGCCAAAGTTAATAATATATTGATTTTCTTAAATTTTAGCCTTTAAATCATAGATTAGTTTATGGCCCTCTTCTGTAAAACAAATATAATTTCAGTGTTAGTCGCGATTCCCCATAGCAAAATAACATACGACATTATGCTATGGAAATAGCTAAAGTAAACAAGTCTAGGTATTTCAAGATTGGTAAGATTTTTAATATTTTTACAGCATAACTGCAGAACTAAGTCTGCTTGCTAATGTTGTTATAAGGGGGCTCCATTGAAGCTTTGCATCTAGTGTGATTCCAATAAAAAAAGTGGTATCGACAAGACACAGTTACTCCCAATTTAAAATTACATTAGTATTTAAATGTTTGACATTTGGAGTCACGAATTTCATACATTTCATTTTAGTGCCATTTAAATGCAAATTATTAACATTAAACTAATTTAGATATAGCATTATTTACTTCGTCATATATTAGTAATTGTCGTTTTAATTTGAATATCTATATATAAGAAGTGTCATTAGCAAATACTACTATATCATGGCTATCCCTTACTATGTAAGGTAAGTCATTAATGTATACAAGAAACAAAAAGAGGCCGAGAAATGAGCCCTGAGGCACACCCATTTGCGCCACCGACCCGAAAGAACTCATACTATTAATGACAACATTTAGCGTTCGGTTACTTAAATATGAAAAAATTAATAAAAGAGCATCACTTCTTACACCGTAGTGTCGAAGTTTCCTGATTAGGGTTTCATGGTGAACACAATCGAAGGCCTTGTATAGGTCACAAAATATACCCAAAGCATCCTGTGAATTCTCCCATGCATTAAAGATATATTCAATCAGCTGAACACCGATATCGGTTGTCAAGCGACTCCTTATAAAACCAAATTGATTTTTATGAAATAAATTATTCATATTAATTTTTTTTTACATTTGATCAAAGTAGTGTAGTTGTACCACTTCTAGACCACCCTACTTAAGGGTCCCTACTTAAGGGTCCTTCTGTCTTAAGTTATTACGTAATTAGCTAACCTAACAACATCTTATAGTGACCACATCAATACTAAAATCATCGAATCATTAGACCCCGCCAATTTTAGACCTATTCTACCAACACTTAGTAAGATTTTTGAAAAACTTACCTGCGTCAGACGTGGTTCAACGACGTTCGTCGACGCCCGATCCTAAAAAAAAAAAAAAAAAAAAAAAAAAAAAAAAAAAAAAAAAAAAAAAAAAAAAAAAAAAAAAAGGTTTTGGCATGCTCTGATCACGAATCCGCGGTCCATTTTTGTGTAGAATGCACGGTTCCGGAGATGTGTAGATCAATTAGCTAATATCTAATTGATATCCGGTAAGGGCCTCCACCGTCATTAGCGTCCCATTGTTCCTATTTCTATTGTTCTATTGTTCCTTAATCACCTTCATTGCAGCGTGTGCGTCGACTATATCAGTGCTATTGTATTATAATTCTTTGTTTATACAACGCTAATCTGAATCATCAATAAAACACATTACATAATTTTGTTACAATTTTTATTTATAAAATACAAAATCTTATTAATTATTATCTATAAAATAGGAGCGAAACATCTCATCCACTAAAATATCGTTGTACAATGTGTTCCTTGTAAATATACTCGTAAAACTATGTATTGAACATCCTTGAAACTTATATAGTAAATACATTAAGCAATATTCGCCACAAACTGAAGTCCACTCATTCTGAATCCTATCAACATTCCAGTTCCATCTTTTACAATTCCTTTTTAAAAACTCTAGATGATATCGTACAGGTGATCGTCCATATGAATCAAAATATTGACCGACGTCATTCGTATCGATATATAAAGCTACCCAATGTGACCCTGGTTTATCATCTGTATCCAAATTACATATTATATACGTTGGTACGTGGGTATACATAGGCAGTCTATTAGCTGCATAAACATTATTTTCTAGACTGGGGTGAATCTTTTTCAGATGTTGTTGTACATCTAGTGTATCCATGATATTACTGCTATTAGTAGATTATTACAGTAC